AATGTCCAGTAGCAGACCAGTCGGCGTGGTCGCTGACCTCGACTGTCCCAGAATTGCACTTCGATTCCAACCAGTATGCAAGCACGCAAAGACACTAGGCACATTGCACTTGGATCTCTAGCAATCCAATGCCATAATGCTTCTCCGGGCCAAGACGGATCCGGGTCTTTATGCATGATCAACGTCATGAAAAACATGGTTTTGGCAACACGCTCAGCATCTCGGTTTAAGCAGACATGCTGCCTGCAAAACGCCGTGGCGACCAAGCCTTGGGGTGCCGCTGGATGCAGACACACCAGCAGCATGCGAAGATCACCATGCATGACGGACATAGCATGGCTTTTCGAAGATGGCTGCAATGTCAATGTGTTCTCCAAATTCACGCGAGGTACTATTTAATATTTTCCTGCCCTGCGAACGACCCGAACGCGCGACATGAGGCCTTAAGACAGCAAGCACCTTTCCCCATTTGGCGGGCTGTTGCCAATGCCGTAGAAGTCAATCCGGATGCCCAAGGCCAACAAGGGAATGCATACACATGACAGGCATTAGCTCCATCACATAGGTACGAAATCTGTAATACATACATACATGCATACACAAGTAGATAGCATGTATGCATACATGTATACACAACAAGACACAAGTGTTGCTGTAGATATAGTTGTTCATCGGGGCCAGAGTTGTGCTCAAAGCTAAAAATCTGACACACATCGCTCCCCCCAGCCAAGGAAACCAAGAAGCCATGCCGACCACACCTTGTTCAGTCCATGAGGGATTTTCTAGGGTGGGAGCAATATCCTCAGGCCCCCTCTTGCTTGGAATGCGGAACATAATGATACGATTTGGGCTGTAGATCTCATGCAGCGAAGTTCAGGCATCTAGTTGATGCATTGCATGAACTTGTTGGTAGTGGTAGCCGGCTAGAGTGCCCAATGCAGCATGTAAGCGGAGCTACACTTCCCGCGAGAGCTAGGGTGTCCTCGATTCGCCTAGATTCTAGAGCTCACGAGGCTTGCAGAGCTGGGCTACAACGGCATGGATATGTCGGCACATATGAGCAAGGCAGGGCATGTGTCTGTATTATATAGCAACGACTGCGTGTTTATTTAATTGTGCATGTATGTACATATGTCTGCACCCATGTCTGCACCTATGTCTGTGTGTCTGTGTGTCTGTGTGTCTGTCTGTCTGCCTGTCTGTCTGTCTGTCTGTCTGTCTGTACAGCTCCATGTCTTTATTTAACACTACTTTCAAGATAAGAGCAGAGGGGTAGAGAGAGAGAGAGGTAGCGAGCATGTTAGTACCCTTGTACATATTACCCGACAGTCTAGTATAGATATAAATAAGCCGCAATCATTGCCAATACTGTTCCTCAGCGTTCAAAGTTCTATTCTACTTACAGCACAATGTAGCCCCAAACCCATTTGTCAGCACTCAGGCCCTCTATGGCCCCTGTCAGCCCTAAACCCTGAACCTGAATCCTAAACCCTTCGCAGCCTGATCCAAAGCTTCTGGTGCAGCTGCGGGTGACGCAGCGAGGAAGCGCTGAAAGGCCTTGCTGCGGTTTTAGGGTTTACAGGGTTTAGGGTTTAGGGTTAGGGTTTAGGTTTACAGGGGTTTTGTTTTTTAAAGTGCAATAACCCTTGGGTTTAGGGTTTGGGGTTTAGGGGACATCGCAGCCCTCGAAGACGAAGGCACTGGGGAATTTCATCTGGCCTAGGGTTTTGAGGAAACTTGAACGGATGCATGTTGCCAATACCCCAGATTCCCTGCGAGGCTACAGCAGCTTATTGAACAGACTGCGCATGTGCGATCACTGAATGTTGCGATATAATGTAGACCAACATCAATATCTATGTGCGTGTATATATATATACACACATACACACACACATATATATATATACACATATAATTACACATGCATACACATGTATTGCTCTACAATGAGTATGCATATACTGAACATAGGCAGTTGTGTGTGTGTGTGTGAAAGAGCCTCTTTGGATGGACATGCGCCGAGCTTTTCAGACTTTCCATCCCAGAACGCTAAACCAAAAACCCAGCCAAAAACCCTAAACCACCGTCCCAGAACCTCTCTGTGCTGCCCCGTCGCACGATTCGCCGGCCGAGTTTATGTTGCAAGCTTCAGGGCTTCGACATGAGTGCCAGGATCATCTACGGCTTCTGTCTGCGTATTCGGGTAGTCCCTACACCCTAAACCCGAATGAAGTCGGAAAGCCGCCGGGTGACTGCGTGGAGGTGGTTTGGTGAGCAGGGCTCGACCTTCTGTAGGATCTTGCAGACCTCGCAAGAAGCCGTGATGTCTTATTGGGTTTTAGCGTGTACTATTAAGTGGCCTGAAGGCCCTGGAAACCCTAAACATAAACTCTAAAACCCTAAACCCCTAACCATTAAGAAGAGAGCTTTGGGAATTTTTTGGGGGCTTGCTTTCTTCTTGGACCTCCAGAGTCGGCTTACAAGCAAGACCTGGCATTCACACCTCCAGGGGACTGAGAGTCTAACATTTTTAGGGTTTTAAGCTTTTTAGGGCTTTGGGGTTTAGGGTTTAGGGCTTTAGGATGAGGATCTTAACGGTCAGAATAGGATCTTGGGGTTTATGCTATAAATGGCCTGGGGACTGCAACAGACACATTCGCTTCTATACGCTAAGTGATGCACGTTGCAAAGTGCCGATTGAGGTGCTTTGGAGCAGATGCGTGCACCCATGTGAAACAGCACAGCCGTGACGAACGGTTGAGTAGTTTTCTTGTAGTCTGCACATCTTAACTAATTAACTAGCATATGGCCTCATAGCCTTTCACGACACAGAAGTTTGTTCGTGCTCATAGGTAAAATGATCCTGGGCTTGATTCCGGCCCCATGATTTCACACTGGAAGTTTCGTGAGAGCAAGTGCGGGCATCGGCACTCGTTTAGCACTTCATGGCACTTGGTGGCATCCGAGCCCACATTGTAAATGGTAAAGTCCGTGCGAACCAATTCTTGCAAGACCCTCTTGTTCCTTCACACTAACTAAATCCTGATGTTGATGCCTTTGGTGAGACCCGTGATACCTGCTCCTCGACGAAACTTTTGAAGCCTTGAAGCCCAGGCTCAACACCCAGGCGCGTTCAATCTCCTCTTCCCACCAAGCATTGGCCCCCCGAATCCGAACCCGTTCTAAGCCGCAGCCCTAAGACTTTCCTCCCAGCACCTTAAATGCTTTTAGCCTCAGATCCTTGGCTGCGCATTAGATACCAAGGCATCCGAAATTGCTTACAAGACCTATATGACTTCCAAACTACAGACTTTCTGGAAACATCACAGAAACCAACTGAAATCCTATCAAAAAATTGGAGCCCAAGGCGAAGGGAGCCAGGGAGCCAAGGAGCTTCGTCCCAGGCCTCAAAACACCGACTGGGCCCGGCAGCCTGCATCTTCAGAGCTCTTTGTTCTGTCTTCTTGATAATTCTGTTTTTATAATAGTAGGGTCTAGGGTTTAGGGATAATAACTGCATAGCTCTCAAAAATTAGTACCAGCTCTTCTCTGTGTTCAGGGCCTGAGGCTTTGGATCCAGGGTTGCGGATGTAGGGCTTAAGTTTAGGGGCTTTGGTTTCAGGGTTTTGGGCTTAGCGTTTGGGATTCAGTGGTTTTTGGTATGGATGGAAGTAGATGCTAGCTTTTAGTCTCATGTTCACTTCTTTTCTTCGGTGTCTGTGTTGAAAGGGTCGAAGGTCTCAACGCCAAGGGTTATTTTAGGATTCTTAAAAGCTTACGGTTATAAGGGTGAAGTACCATATCGGATGAGCTGCTCAGGGGTGACGCCTCCAGAGACATTGGCGTTTTCTAGGGCTTCCAGAGGCTGCAGCCAAATCTCCCTGCCCAAGGTCCATGGTCCATGTTCCCATTTTAAAAACCTAGGTCCTACACCCCGAAACGCGAGGCCCTGTACCCCCAAACCCAGTTTTTGACCTTGAATCCACGAATCTGGGGGATTCTGGGGGCCTAAACCACTTGACCCCAACGCCTGTTCTGTGGCCATGGCGCGCGCAACGAAAACCGATGCATAGCTGGCTAGCAGAGCCTGCGCTTGTTTACTGGGGGTTCCGAGGCATGCATATGTAAAGTGATGCATACATGTCGGGTGCTGCACTTGTCGATTTGCACTCCAGCGAACTTGAACTACGTCAGTCTCCCACTGCAGCTGTCGACTTTGCACTCCAATCCCTCCGATCTCCTACTTCCTCCTCCTCCTCGACTCCAGTCTCCTACTGCAGTTATCGACTTTTGCACTTCAACTCCCTTCATCTCCGACCTGCTCCTCTTCAACTCCTCCCTCTCCCATTGCATCTATCAACTTTGCCTAGCCTTCCGATCTGCCCTCTTGCTTGGTTTCTACGGTCTCCCACTGCACTGTGCAATCCTCTTGCTCCTCTCTCAACCTCCATTCTTCGACTTGGCAAACTTGCTCCAACCCTTCGGAGCTCTTTCTCCTCCTCTTGCTTCCACTCCTCCGTTCTCCCACTGCGCCTGTCAACTTTGCACTCTAACCTCCTCTGGTGGAGTTGAAGCTAATCCTACCCAGGACTACAATCTGACTCATGACTTGCAAGCCGCAAGCCTTTCTGTCAGTGCCCAGGAAAGATCCGGCAAGGTCTTAGGCCAAGAGGGGGGCCCAGCTTTGGATCACATCGGTCCAGATTTCTCCGCAAGGGTTGCAAATCACAACAGCCACCACCATGAACACAATAACAGCAAGAGCAGCAGCAGTAAGTTCAGAGAGCAGTCCTGCTTTGGACAACCTCGCTGAGAAGCACAGCAGTGACTACCCTTCATCGCTTCCCAGTCTTCATGCTTTCGTTGGGGATATGGCATCGATCGGCTTCCAACAAGCTTTCGCGTGTGGAAATGACGGTCCTGTCTCAGGTAACGATGGCCATTGAAAACAAGCCAGCAGAATAACGTCGATACTCCTAAATTTGAACCTGTCAGGCCTCTGTGACGCAGGCTGCATCCGCACCTGGGGTCGCTGCAGCCCAGCGTGATGCGCAGCAGCTGATCTCGCGACCTGAACAGGCTGTATGTAGTCACGCATAGAAAGAAATATCTGCTCGAAGACCTGGCATAAGTAAAGAACAAACCTGAACAACAGAACATCACCCCTGGATGAACACTGGGTTGGCGAACACCTCTGCAGCGCGCACACGCAAATTACAAGTCTAATTCGAAGGTGCTGCTTGCTCGCATTATGCCATCATGTGAAAGCACACAGATCGAGATAGATATGTATGTATGTATGTATGTATGTATGTATGCATGCATGTATGCATGTATGTATATATACATACATATTCCTTGTGTGCACCTGCATGCGATGCTGTGTAATGGTATGGGTAAGTGTATAATATACACCTACCAATACCATTACACAGCATCGCATGCATGTGCACACAAGGACATGCAAGCCTGGAGGGAGTCATGTTGCAAAGGCACATTTCGCCGTGAAAGTATGTATTTAGTCAGTCACCCACCCGCCCACGTTACCGCCTGCATGCGCAAATGCAGCTGCCCTTGCAAACACATAAACGCTGGTGTCGCTCCCAAGTAAGACGCAACGTAATCGACTCGGGTCCGAACGTGTGACGGCCGCTACCTGTGACTGCGAAGGCGGCAAGGACCGATTGGGAGGGCCGAGGGGCAACATATCATGCCTGCTCAAGGTCTGACGGCTTGGGAGCATGTTGAATTCAGGAGGGGCGAGCTCATGTTTAGCAGAACATTGTCTCGGGTATCAGCGTAGCATACGACTGCATGATGTCTATGCCGAATTATCGCATTCTATACCATGTATGTTTGTAGAATTGCATCCCATGGCTAGGTGTGTTTGCATGGATAACTACAGATGTACATGTATACTCACGGCCTTCTGAACTCTAGCAGTGTGTACGTGACTCGGTTGGCTCCTGCCTCGTCCAAGGCTGCCAAGAAGTCTTCAGGCTTCAGCTCCTCGGCAAGGGCAGGTCCACAGATATTCACACAAATGAGCGAATAAATACAGAATAATATACATATATATATGTATAATATACACACATAAATACTTACACACACAAAAAAACTGCTTACCTGTCCGTTTGTCTATCTCACTACCTCCCTCTCTATCTATCTTTCTATCTATCTATCTATCTATCTATCTATCGATCTATCTACCTATCTAGCTCTATGCCGGTTCTGTCTATCTATCTATCCCCCCCTACGTATATACCTCTATAACTACCCATCCATCTACCTACTTACCTATCTAGTACCTATCTCTCTTTCTGTCGGCCTATAGACCGCTGAAAACCTGCTCGCCATCCATCTATTTGTGAATCAATGCAGAGCCATATGAAGGTAGGCTCCTGCATATCTGGCTAAATCTGTAGGCACGTAGATAGATGAATGCTTATGTGTTTGTATACATGCGCGGGGCTTATACATGCGCATTATGTGTGTATGTACATATGTGTATATAGATGTATATGTATATGTGTATCATTATACACACATGTTAGCTGATCTGCTGACATGCTGCTTAAGCTGCTGCTTGCTACCACGGAAGCAAGTTCGACGTGATATGGGATACGAGTCTTGCAAGTCTTGGAGCAAAAAGGTAATGGTCAACGCCTAAAAGCCCGTGCATCGTAAACACCCCATCCTGTATCTGCTGTAACAGATAAGCATAAACTATCACTGAATACTATAACTTAAGAGGCACCGACATACACTAATACAAACAGACAGACAGATTGGTAGATGCAGAGATAGATTTACATAGATGGATAGGGCGATAGATAGATAGGTAGGTAGATAGGTAGATAGATAGATAGACTAGAATGAGATAGACAGATTTATAGATGGATAGACAGATAGATAGATAGAATGAGATAGACAGATAGAAAGAACGAAAGATGGATAGATAGACAGACACGTGGATAGACAGGATAAGATAAGTAGATATATGGATAGAGGAAGGGAGGGAGAGATATATGGAAAGACAGGTTACTAGAGAGATTGATACATCGGCCGACAGATTCAGTTGAAAGGGATGTACTCGATTCTATACATACATGAATGCATGTACATGCGCATGCCCAGGCGCCAACTTGGCAGCACGCTGCTGCACGTGGAGAAGCCGTTGGGCCAGCTCTGCCGGACTTAGGTTTGCGAGTGCTGCTGACTGCTATTGGGTTGACAAGTCATAAACTGCACTGGTAGTTGAAAACATATACGGCAGCGCAACTAGGATTGGAGTTGCCTTTTCATGCACCGTGTATGCATATGGATATTGATATGCATGCCTGCAGACAGACAGACAGACAAACACAACCTCCCGAATTACTACTGGCAAAGGTGTCCTCGACTCCACCCGAGAAGAGCCTTAAGCCGCCAATGATTTGAACTCAGATCCCTGCACCCGAATCCGCAAGCCACAGCGAAAGATGACCCAGTGCCAGGACGAGACTCACAGCTTCAGCTTCGAGAGTGCATCGCTTGCACTGGCAGTCGAAGCCTGCGCACGAGCCCCATGGAATTCAGAAGGTTCCACAGTCTTCTGCGGCCCTTGTCCTGTGCAGCCCTCCGGGGGCATTACCATGAGTCTCTGGCCGCCAGTCTTGCATGCAACGGATCTCGAAAGTCATCCCAGGCTTATCATGATCTGTGGGTGATGCTTCACTGCGAAGCATCGGGCGCAGCAATGCGGCACGGTATAAGGGAAAGTCTATCCAGCAGTCTTCTCCGGGGTTCGGGGTTCGCAGGGTCCAAAACAGTTGCAATGCCTTTTCAGCGTCTCAGGCTCGGCCTTCCTTAATGTAACACTTTGCGCGGTAAACTTCCAGGAGCATCGTTAGACTGACACCTTCCAACCGAACCTGTGAGGCACGGAAAGAGTGGCTGCAAAGCAATATTGCAAACGGCTATACGCTGAACCTCAAAGCCCTGCAACCCAAATCCCCTGCGAATCCCAGTGATATCTTATTCCCTGAAAGCCTTGTAACTTAGAAGATACAAGTAATATACCCAAACCCCCGTTCGAATCCCACGATTTTATAAACCCTTGTGCAAACCTCCTTAAGGGTATCTTATTGAGCCTTTTTGACGCCGGAGTTCGGTCCGGCGGAGCTCCACTGGCATCATCAGAGTGCCTGAGGTGTGGATGAGGACATCGGGCTTCCAACACCAGAGATCAGGGTTGAGAACTTCAGAACTTAAGGGTCTAGGGTTTAGGGATGGAGTTCTGTATGGCTCTGGGAGGGAGTCCTTCGGGGCCCTGCAGATTTGTTAGGAGGCGGTTCTCGTGCTTGTCTTATGACCAGCGACCGAGACGAGATCTGATCTAACACGGCGGCCCATAGACTGAACTGTTGCAGATCCCCCGTGCAGGTTTTGCTTCTGTCTTCAGCCAACAGAGGGCCGAGTCTGTGCCAAGAAATGGCAGGTGCTTTAGATTCGGGTGTCAACTATCGAGCACTGGAACAGCGCATGGACACGGCGAAAGCTATGTGTAAATGGCATAAACATTGCCGAGGACATCGCTATACAAAGCCCTCGCGAAACTGAAACTGACGGCTGCTGACTCTTGGCAACAAGCAGCAGCAAGCCGGTTAAAGACACGTGGCAGTTAGAGCTGTCACTTGCATCAACCTGTGGCAGTGACACCGATGCACACTCTCGACGACTTCGGCATCGACGAAATCTAGAGACTGATAGCTGCAACTGCCAACTCTGCGAGAGCAGTTTGCCGGCCCATTCCTATGCTGGTCACCTGTACAAGCCGCACACGGAGGTCTCAGGCAAACTTCTCACAGGGTGTTCCTTGGGCAGCCAGCACTACACGCACAGTTAGTGCAAATCGCAGTGCGACAAACGCTGTGGATTTCGAAGTCTGGGAAGACTGAGGCTGAGGTTCGATGCTGGCCAGTAGCCTCTGGCTCCTTTAAGAAAGGTGTCCCTGTGCTTTTTATTTGTACGGCTCTAGAAAGGAGCTCCTCAACTCCTCAAACAAACATCCCAGTCCATCTGACCCCCAACCAGTGACTACACCAATGGCGGAACGATGAGCCACGTCGTGAAGAACCCCAAACCCACCCCGAGGTGTGAAACCCTACTGGACCCTGCTGCAAGCAGCAAGCAGGAAACGCTTCAACACTGTCGCATGTGCTGTGACCTGTCACAGCCATCGCTTGTTAATACCTGACTGAAAGAACACACATAAAAGTACCCTCTAGGAGGACCGCCGTTAACGAACTCTTCGCTAAAGGCAAAGGCCTGCTAATGCCTAGTTTTGGTATACTCTCTTCTGTTTGGTGAGCGTTGACTGGGTTTAGGGTTCAAGGTTTGGGGTTCAGCCCGAGATAAGGCCATGTTGGAGCTGTTTGGATTTACGAGCTCCATTGAGGTCAAAGCTCCGGTTGTCGGGATTTGGGACTTTCGACCCTAATGTCTTGCACCCGAAGCTTTGAGAAGGCAACAGACCAGTAGGTCCAGGAGTCCAAAAATTCGGGATGTAGGCGCTCCAGCTTCCATCATCTTGGTCTTTCTGCGGCGTCTTGTATGCCTGATCGATCATTTGTGCATGCTTTTCTGCATGATCATGGCGGATTCTGAATTCAACTGTCCATGTCCGCAAGCCAGGCCGTCCAACAATACCCAGGATACAACATCTGCATTCACGACAGGTATCCTTTTCAACTCAAGCTGGGCACTGCGAACATGTCAGTCCCACTGCTTCAAGCAGACCACAGTTTCCGCAGGTCCCAAACTGCCCCGAAACACTGAACCCCTCAACTCCTAAACCCTAAACCCCTAAACCCTAAACCCCCTAAACCCCTAAACCCCCTAAACCCCTAAACCCCCGAAACCCTCAACCAAGCTTCTTCCCGAGGCCCCGCCCCCCCCAATGCAAGGATGCTGCGAGCTCTAAGGCCGCATTCCCATCAACGACCAGGAGCTGTTCGAACCTCGGGGCTTCGAGCTTAGGGTTGAGGGCTTAGGGCCTTAAGGTCTAGGATTTAGGGCTCGATTTAAGGCTCAGGGTTTCGGGCTACGGGTTACAAGGTTGTATGTATATATATATATATTTATTTATTTGTTTTTTTACATGTTTTTTGAGTTTTTTGGGTTTGTATAAGGCTTATATAGAGTTTATAAGGGCGCATACGAGCTTTACTCAGGGTGTATATAGGGTTTACATGGGGTTTCGGGTTTTATAAGGACTGACCTCTCAGAATCATTGGCTCCAATATCTGATGGCACTGGGACGATGCAGGACTTGGGCAACTGCCAGGTCCTCCACTATGTCTGAACATTCTCTGCTTTTAGGGAGGTGAGCAAGCAGCACCTTTTGTTTTAACCCTAAATCAGAAATACCAAAATCCTAACACCTACAGTAAGCCCCACAACGCCTCGGGGATGTAACTCTCAAATCAGTCTCCCGGTGACGTCGTCTTCTGTATCTGAATCTACAAAAAATGGATCTAAGCCTCATTGCCGACCTCAACAGGGCTCAACCTTCCAGTCTGAATTCAAATGCTAATAAGCCACGATGTACCTCAAAGAGGACCCCTGATTTGCAAAAAGCCCCTTATACCCCAACTACAACCCCAGGTGTAAGCGTGTTCTTTCCTGGCAGGCACGGGGTCGGGCAGCGCAACAGTCTTTAGGGCTCAAATTGAAGGTGGGCATAAGGCCCTGTGATTTCAAGACTGCGGGATGCTGCCCAGAAGCCGCCAGCGCTGACCACTGCGGGGCATCTTTGACTTCACGCCCATGTTCTTCGGCTGCCTCTCTTCACTTTGCTCTGGTTGCAGGCTCAAGCCAGATCAAGCATTATGGAGCACCACTGTTTGATTTCGCTGATGGCAATGGTGATGGTAATGCTGATCGTGGTACCTGTGCTCAACACTGTTGCGTTAACGGGCGACGACGGAGCCAATAACTGCCACCACTCTCAGCGCACACTCCCCCCCCCATAGCTGTAGTACGCATTACGCTGCTGATTCTATGCTTCTGGTCGCGATGAAGCTGATTCTGCTGCTGCTGCTGTCGACTCCGTGCTCCCGCACTTAAAGCCACCTGCCCCGTATCTCCCCCTTGTTGTAGCCAGGCTTTCTGTTGAGTTTCTGCTGCGGGAAGCAGTCACAAAATTCGGATGGGGACTCACGAAACCAGTGAGAAGGTGCAGTATCGAGGCTTTGACATGCATTCGCCCACAGCTCTCCATTCCCAACACACTTTGAGTGATCATGCTGCAAGCTGAAGCATCGTGAGACCCGCACGCTTTCGACGGTGGAGGCATTGATGCGAAGTCAAACTCCTCATGCAGGAAGGCTGCTTCAGCATCTGGGACTTGGATCTGCATGCAACAAACCGTGTCAGTCACAGATGTGAACGCTGGTCTTGTGAATTTGTCATCTCTACGTTTCAACCTACTCCGGCCAAGGCCCTGTGAAGTAACCACTGCCCTTAAAAGTGATAAGCTGCTGTGTACGTACTGATGCTGCTTTCCGGAGTATGTACTTGTTTCCACATCTCTAAAACAATCTCCATAAGATTCGTGAACAGTCTACTTTGCATAGTATATATATATACAAGTATGTGTGTATGTATGTATGTA